TTTAAAAGAAGGCATAATCCAAGATAGGCTCGTATTAGGCCCAATACAGTGGTGTAAAGAGGGCTTGAAAATCTCGTCAGTCCATCTTTTAAGAGCCTATGATACTGAATGACTTAATTGAAAAATGTAGGCTTCCGATACTTGTTTACATAATTATTGTTTTACTTGGGAGGGCCTACTACAAGTAGGGAATTCCAAAGCGATGCTTAAGAGCCCTTTGTGCATGGGCTCTCATTGAAGTTTATACTATGACTTAAATGCCATAAGATGAAAGATTTAGAAAATGGAATCACTTTTTTTTTTTTTTTTTTTTTTTTGGTCGGAAATCAATGCTTATTAAAACGTTAAATACTCATCAATAAAGTAAGTTCACAATACCTGTACGTACCACAAACACATCAAACATCATTTATACATTGAGTACCAGTCAATCTAAGATATATATTAATTGCTAAACTTAATTTATCATAAGATGATCCGTAATTATCTAGTAGTGGTTCGTTTTGAGTTTTTCTGTTTCTATCATGGTTTCTAGGATGCTTCTGAGCCAGATCTTAAACAACTATTCTTGGCACACTGTTCTGATACTAATTCCAGTTCCTCTTAAGTAATTTAAAAAATTTATTTTACAGCGGTAGTGAACCACGAGTGGCCTGTTAGTGTTAAAGAGAAAAATATATTGTAATACGGGTCATCGCAGATTTTCCCCAGGTCTTCAAAAATCCTACCGGCGGCTTTCAGTCTGTGTTGCCCATATTGTAAAATGTATTAACTGTACTCACATATTTAACCTATTTGCACTTTACTTAAGCCATAGCTGGCTGTTATATCTGGGGTGGTCCTGGCCTAGACAGCCTTAAACCAGGGTAAACTAAATCATTTTTCTAGTCTACTTGTAAAAATGCGTGTTCTTCTCCCAAGCGTGAACCATGGAAGGTCACAGTGTGTTGTTTATGTCTGTATTATTTTACTATTATTTTACAGGTCAATGCTTATTTGTTATGTAAATGCTTATATTTAGGTGCTAAATTTACTTTCCGTCTGTGAAAATTCATTATTGAGGCCTATTTAATACCGAAAAAACAATCGCTACAGGCCTATACATAAATGAAGTAAATAAATAAACATTAAAAAATAAATACAAATAAAAAAGAAATCAAATAAAAGATGCTGGTATAAAACAAGCCAAATCATTCAACCAGCCATTTGAGAGAAATGTATTCTAAATATATTTTTTACCGAATACGACGGGTAATTTTGTTCCTCTTTGTACAGTGTGTCTCACAAAATAAAATAGGCAAAATAAATTATGTGTACTGTGTCGCGCATACAGAAACATTAGGGTTCGTTAAATTTAAATTAGAAGATTACGTGCTGGTAATCAAACAAAAGGTGGGTAAGGCTTATCAAGTTTCTGAATAATATAAGGCCTAATACTAATAATTTTTTAACGCAATTAAAAACCTAGAAAGAGATACATTAAGCGTAAATATAATAATCTAAATCATTTGCCTGTACTAAAGTTAAAGAACTTTGTTTCTTTAAACACCAGCTTTATGGTTTCTTTCAATACTTCTCTATATTCTTATTTGTGATTGATATAAAATAGTGTTGAAATGTTTATATTTAAACAAAGTTTACAGTTCAGTAATTCAGAAAATCTTCCGACTGAAAATTTATCCCCTCATACATCGACAAATAAATCAGACATATGAATAAGGTTCAACTGAGACTGGGCCGACAAAGCCTGTATTTTAAGAATTTTAGAAATATGTTCGATTAAAATGTTTAAAATGCGTTAAAAGCGCCATATTAGCGCCTCTGAGCATGCGGAAGAAAAACAAGCTTATTAATCATCTTAGGTGTCGATATAGCCAAAAAGTTAGAAATTTTAAATATATGTAGGCCTAATAGTCTGTCGTTGAAAGAAAAATGTTATTCTAGTGCCAGGAACACGTAGTAAATAATTTGCCATTATTGGAAGGGTAATTTTACGGCGAATAAAAATGTCCAACATGTCAAAATACTAAATAACTTTGCTTAATAAGCAACTTAACAATAACAATGAATTATCACACTAGAGCACTGCAAGTACCGGTAGTGCTCATGGCGCTGCAGCACAAACGTCAATCCATAAAGTCAGTTTGTCTCATATGTTGATCAGTCGGTCGATCGGTCGATAATCGAATGTGTATGATATTGTTACGCCTATGCATTATTTAATCATGATTGTATCTGAAACATATCAGAAAAGAATCACGGTAAATGCGGGCGGGGCTTAGCGGAAAGGTCCATTGACAGGAACATCTTTTTTTGCTAAATGTCGAATATATGAAACTTGTAGGAGGCCGACTGAAATTATTCAATCTTACATTATAAACTTTTTGCAAGATCTGTTACTTATGCAAGTCAATATATGTCACTGAGCCAAATATTCGACGTTTCATTATTATTCTCTGAACAGTGTTGCCTTATCTGTCACCAGCACCTTGGCATTATCACAAATTACCTTTATTGGCATCATCATTGAAGACGAAAATCGATACAGAAAGTGACATCCATTTCCCTTGTCCAACGAGGATCATGCCGTCCACTCCCCCGTCTTAGCTCGACACAAATCCTGACCTCTTCAAACAATAAATATAAGCGCTTTGGGCCGGTTACACCGTAAATTCGACTCCTGGGCTTGTAATACAGTAAACCTAGTGAATTCACTAGGAATTTCGATTTTACTTACATACCCGGTACCAAGTGGGGATGAAAGGATCTACTAAGCAAAACTATAGGTTTAGTAACACCGGAACTTCATGTGGATTGGTCAACAGACACCTCCCCTTCCTCTTCAGCCTCTGCACCAGCCCAATTACACTTGATTAGTTCGTGTGGCCCGTCCGACAAATCCCTCCATCAGCACTGGACTATCCTTGGTCAAAACCCTCGGCCATTGTCGGTATAATAATGTAGTGGGATAACCCTCGGCCATTATTATTCCCCCTACACATTCGGTATAATAATGTAGTGGGATTAGCCCGATTAACCCTTCTTACACTGAGTGATAATTCCTAATTATGGTTTCACGTATTATTATTGTAGTAAAGTGGGCTTTTGAACCAAGTAAAATATTTTGCCTTTTCTGATTTAAATTAAAAATGCCTACCATAGACTTTCGAGATCTTTGTTCGGCTTATTATAAGCTATTAATGACAGCCTGTGGTCCTAATTGTCAAAATTTGTCGAATTACTTCACTAGTTCGCGAACACCGCGATTATGACTAGATTCAACTTGTTTTCCAAAGTACATTTCGGGTTCGCGCCAACCTTTACATCTTCTGGTGTCTGTTATCTTACTATTCATCTTCTTGTTGGTGGATAAACATTAATTGACAATATCCTAAACTATCATAATTATTCACAATGAACTGCCATTCTATTTAGGTTTACCTAATCGGAAGTTGATCATCTGTGTGTAGGTTTCACACTGATTGAAGGCAAGTTGAGTGACTTGGACATTTTATGATTAGTGGACGTAGTGTGTGTGTGTACGTGTGTTATGTGTTCCATATGTGTTTGTCACGTTACAGTTCGTTGACTGAAGGCAACATGACTACACCGGAAGCTTTGTCTGGAGAGGTAAAACAGAAATACTATACAAAAATAAGCGCACCGCGCCCCACTAAAAGTTTGCGTGATGTATGCGTGTAGCCTGATGACGCTGCATGTGTATACCTGAACCACAGATCCTATCCTGGATCCTCTGGAGTTACATTCCTGTAATGATTCGAGCTCTATGACATTTAATACATGTGCGAATGGAATTGAATAATTGAATTACGAATGACATATTGATTATAGACAGTTACCAACATATAAGTATGAGAAAAGAAATCAATATTACCGTAATAATAATTATATAAAAAAATTAGATCTAAATACTAAAAAACGTATATTCCCCTACTCACAGAAAGGCTAAAGGGGTAAAGAGGAAAACTGTACCAGAGCTATAAAATAAATGTGGTTATTATTTTAGCATCTGTGTAAAGATACACTGCCATGAGCCAAAGAAAAAATATTTCCAGAATTGAATTGCTTAATTTGTGTAGGCCCATTTAAATAAGTTATTAACTTAAAATTTAAAAAATTGAATATGAAAAAAAAATCCTCTGTCAAATAACGGAGAGTTATATAATACTTAAATTTTTGTATTCTCATTGCATAATATTATATGTAATTTTCGGGTAATCAGTTTACATATTTTTTTATCTACCAGTAAATCAGTGGAAACTGTTTTTTCGACCCTTTTCCTAAATGGAATAACTTACCGTATTTGATTATTTAAAATTAGTCTACAATTTGAATTGAATATTTGAGGAAATTTCCGATGTTTTTGTAGACAGCGTACGGTATCTTTAATTAAAATGATTAGAAGTGGATTCTTGAGTGGGGTCGTAGTTAAACCACCAGGCACTAACATGATGACCACAGTAGGGGCAGCGCCAGCGGGGACGGGGGAGACAGAGCCTCCCCGTAGTGGTGAGCTCCCTCCCCCGTCGGAGAGATCGTGGAGAGCTCCCTCCCCCGTCGTGGAGAAAAACCACAGTTCGTCAGGGAAACAAATGTATGTATTTTGTACATATTAGTAGACTCTAAATTGAATAATTACCGGTAAGCCTTTGAAATCCCTAAATTGTCCAAATTTTCCCCCACTTTCGAAAGATTTTGAGCAACGTCCGACCACGCTTACTTTGCTCTTGCCGGGGACTTCTGCCCCCCTCCTCCCCCGTGGAGGACCTCGGACCCGTTGGGAATATCCTAGACCCCTGGACCACAGGAAAACAGAAAACAATCAATGCACTAACAAACAATCTATGGACGAATGGTGTTGATATATAACAACTACTCTATCAATGTTGCAATGAATTAACGGGTCGGTGGATTCCATTTAACGGATCATTAATCTACCAAGTTAATTGATAAACGCATTGTTCTTTATTCTTCCTTAGGTGACGATCCGTATGCAGGGAAGAAAGCTAAAGATGTGTTACACAGCCTAAAGCAAGGATATCGGATGCAAAGACCACAACATTGTAGCCCGGAACTGTAAGTTTGACAGAATGATAGTAAATTTGGACGGATTCATCTCATCACATCGGTGATTGTGGTTTTGTGTGTCAGCTGAAGCATATCATTGGTTAGGCATATCGCTGAAATGAATTTGGCTACTTAGTTCTGTTAAGCATCATATTTCCTCTTTCCGTTAAAACATTTATGAATGATCCTTGACGTGCCAAGAAGTGTTGGTGATATGAATGAAATAATTATAAAAAGCACAAAATAGGCCTAGGTCAATATTCACCAGATAGTTGGTTCTTCTCCACAAGATTCAATTAAATGATTTACGATCTAACTACGCTTATTGCCTAGTCCACCTATGTTTACTATAGGCCTAAGGCTTACATCATTTACAGTATGTAGAATTAGGAAGACTATGAGTGAGCATGTGGCCGGGGTGGGGAGTGAGTGTTGGTAGGTAATTATTCGGCATACTTGTTAGTCTTTAATAACAAGGACTTTCAAGTTAAAAGTCATTGCTAATAACATTTCTAAATAGGTTGTGATATTTTTGTTGCATAGTTGCAATATCATTATTTTTTCTATATTAACTATTAAAAAAACAATAATTAAAAAAATAAAACTTTACTGATCTTGGAGATTTAGAACATTAGATGAAAACAATCAATACTAATTGACACTCTAAGAAGGCACCTTAAACGCTCTGGTTCAATTTACCTAGGAAGTACTGTACAGCATTTTGTTCTATTTTGCTTATAAACACTTGCATAGGATTGATGCATACAAATATGCATAATTCTTAAGTTTGCTACATAGTGTTAATCATATGTAACGATGAAATCATTATCGAATCAGTACATCAACATGTTCTGATGATACCTTTATTATTTCCCAATACACACGCCTCGTGATGTAATTCAAGCACATGACATTAGTACATACTCAGCAAATTATGTAAAATCAACATGTCTATCGAACTTGGTATTTATTTTGTTATTCAAAAAAGGCAAATTTATGAATATTTATTACATACATTTATTAGGTGTAAACTGTAGTAACTTCTCTTTACAGCAGAATAGAAATATGTTTTTTAAACGACAGGAAATTGTTTATTTTAGCTATATTGAACATGTCCGTTTACAACTCTGGTAAGGGTAGACTCAACGCCAAGGATATGTAAAGTATTAGCCTTTGCCTAATTGGTAAACTGAAAATACCTAACACATTTAGTTAATAAACAGTTCCATAATCAGGCCAAATTTTAAATTCCGAATGCTTGGAGCCCTGAATTTGTGGCCTATTCTTTTAAAATGGATAGAACAGTGGTACCAATTCTCCAAACAAAATTGATTCTACATTACTATTTTTTTATAAGAACACATTTTATAAGAACACTGAGGCTGAAATTGCTTTAAAAATAAGAACAAATTGAGGCTGAGTTAAAATGTCAAATATGTTTTTTATTTAAAAAAAAAGAAAAAAAAGAAAAAAAAAGAAAACCAACAAATGTTTAATGTACCTTGTGCAGTAGGTGACTATGTAACACCTTCTATTTAATACAGTTAGTAAAATACTGCTGTACAATAATAATTTTCTATCTTTGAAAAGTTTGTTATAAAATATTAACGAACTAAGAACATTCTGAGCATGGAATTGGTCCAAAAATAACAACACTGGGAGTCTGGGAAAAATTATACTGGTTCTTATAAAAAATTATCATTATCTACCTCTGCTGCCACATTGCCAGTCTCTAGATAATAGCCTCTTCAGTGGCGTAACGCCTATGCACTCTCATGCGGCGGTCCGCAAGGCCCCCGACCCCTAGAGGCCCACCCATATGGTCCTTGATCAATCATCCTGACCAAAAGGGTTTTGTTGATACATAACAGCATAATGTGTCTTTGACATCGACTGAAGGACATATATCATATTATATCCAGTGTGGCGGATTAAAGTGCGCCTTGCCGGCTTGGATCCCCGCTAAATTTATCAATTTTTGTTTAAATGGGGATAAAAAGAAAATTATTTTCAAAATGTTAAGTCAGTGCCATTTCTCACCACCCAGAGGTGCCAAAATCATCAATTTTATTACCTCAGTCCCAAACATGGTGGGGCTGAGGTGGTGTATGTGACACTCCATCTCTGAAAGTTCCTCCTGGTCCTCTTCTATTTCAAATTACTGGCTCCACCAATGATATTATATCATTTATTCGTCGTTAAATATATTTCGAATAATAACAATGACAAAAATGATTAAAAAACGAGTACCTCTAAAATCCCACGATGAAATTAGCGAATGACACCCAAAAGGGCCCAGCGGTGGCTCCCAGAAATATGCCGACAACGGGTCCCACATGTCCGACGGGAGGACCGACCTAAGAGGCCGACTAGCCTCGGTCTTGCTGCCGGATTAAAACAAATCTATGGACGGATGGTAGGGTTCACTTGGAGAGTTTAAAGGCCAACTCTGACAGCGTCGTACGACGCAGCTCGACGCGATTTGTTGTCGCGTCGGG